CAGCACCTGCCACCAGGAAGAACGCAAGCCAAAAAGGCAAGCAAAACAAATATAAAGCCAACAAAGTGCTCAGCGAGCCACAAAGGCAATCAATGCAAATAAAGCACACAAAGTGCTTAGCGAGCCACAAGGGCAAAGCAAGGTAAATATAAAACACACAAAGTGCTTAGCAAGCCACAAAGGCAAGCAAAGCTAATATAAAGCACACAAAGTGCTTAGCGAGCCACAAAGGCAAGCACACAATATAATGTTCACATGGCGTTAATAAACCCCCCCGCAATAAAGTACGCCAACTCCCGGTTCACAATAATAAAACCCCCCCGCAATAAAGTACGCCAACTTGTTTTTCCCGTTTTTTTCCGTTTTTTCCCTTTAGTATTCGTTTTCAATTAGGCAATTCATTTGGGAATACATAGGTGTTTTTTTTGGAGGGAAAGTTCCCTTATGTATTCGTTTTCAATTAGGCAATTCATTTCGGAATACATAGGTGATTTGTTTTTTGGAAAAGTTCTGGAGTGTAAAAAAATCAACAAGGCTCAAATGGTCGATTTCCCTACTAAACCCTTTCAAAAAATGCCAAAAAAACAATCGCGCAAAGGGGGTAGCCTTGAAGTCCCCTGACATCAAAATAATAATGTATGTTTGCACACCCCTAAATAAAGTATTTGGATTTCAGGGTTCTAAAGTTTTGGTGGTTAATTAAATTTGTTTCTCAATTCCTTTCCTAGTTGAACCCTTTCTCAAACCCTTTCTGAAGCCCTCAAGACTCTTTGAGCTGGAAGCAGTAAACTCCAAACTCCAAATCTTGCCTGAAAAGTTCTGGGGTGCAAAAAAAAAATCAACAAGGCTCAAATGGTCGATTTCCTTACTAAACCCTTTAAAAAAATGCCAAAAAACAATCGCGCAAAGGGGGTAGCCTTGAAGTCCCCTGACATCAAAATAATAATGTATGTTTGCACACCCCTAAATAAAGTATTTGGATTTCAGGGTTCTAAAATTTTGGTGGTTAATTAAATTTGTTTCTCAATTCCTTTCCTAGTTGAACCCTTTCTCAAACCCTTTCTGAAGCCCTCAAGACTCTTTGAGCTGGAAGCAGTAAACTCCAAACTCCAAATCTTGCCTGAAAAGTTCTGGAGTGCAAAAAAATCAACAAGGCTCAAATGGTCGATTTCCTTACTAAACCCTTTCCTTACTAAACCCTTTCCTTTCAAGAAAGTTCACTTTATGTATGCGTTTTCAATTAGGCAATTCATTTGTGAATACTAAAGTTCCAAGAAAGTTCACTTTATGCATTCGTTTTCAATTAGGCAATTCATTTGTGAATACTAAAGTTCCAAGAAAGTTCACTTTATGTATTCGTTTTCAATTAGGCAATTCATTTGTGAATACTAAAGTTCCAAGAAAGTTCACTGTATGTATTCGTTTTCAATTAGGCAATTCATTTGGGAATACATAGGTGATTTTTTGTTTTTTTGGAAAGTTCCCTTTATGTAATCGTTTTCAATTAGGCAATTCATTTGGGAATACATAGGTGTTTTTTTTTGGAAAGTTCCTTTTATGTAATCGTTTTCAATTAGGCAATTCATTTGGGAATACATACGTGTTTTTTTTTGGGGGGGGGAAGTTCCCTTATGTATTCGTTTTCAATTAGGCAATTAATTTGGGAATACATAGGTGATTTTACGACAGTTGAATGTTTGGCCCTAACTTTATTCTGATGCTCTTAATGTTTGGGGGGGAGGGGGGGGTTTATTAATACGATGCTGACATTAAAGCATACAAAGTGCTTAGCGAGCCACAAAGGCAAGCAAAGCAAATATAAAGCACACAAAGTGCTTAGCGAGCCACAAAGGCAAGGAACGCAATATAAAGCACACAAAGTGCTTAGCGAGCCACAAAGGCAAGCAACGCAATATAAAGCACACAAAGTGCTTAGCAAGCCACAAAGGCAAGCAATGCAAATAAAGCACACAAAGTGCTTAGCAAGCCACAAAGGCAAGCAAAGCAAATATAAAGCACACAAAGTGCTTAGCGAGCCACAAAGGCAAGCAACACAATATAAAGCACACAAAGTGCTTAGCGAGCCACAAAAGCAAGCAAAGCAAATAGAAAGCACACAAAGTGCTTAGCGAGCCACAAAGGCAAAGCAAGGTAAATATAAAACACACAAAGTGCTTAGCAAGCCACAAAGGCAAGCAAAGCTAATATAAAGCACACAAAGTGCTTAGCGAGCCACAAAGGCAAGCAACACAATATAAAGCACACAAAGTGCTTAGCGAGCCACAAAGGCAAGCAAAGCAAATATAAAGCACACAAAGTGCTTAGCGAGCCACAAAGGCAAGGAATGCAATATAAAGCACACAAAGTGCTTAGCGAGCCACACAGGCAAGCAGAGCAAATACATAGCACACAAAGTGCTTAGCAAGCCACAAAGGCAAGCAATGCAAATAAAGCACACAAAGTGCTTAGCAAGCCACAGAAGCAAGCAAGGCAAATATAACGCACACAAAGTCCCAAGCGAGCCAAAGGAAGGGGCAAGCAATGAAATATATAAGGCTGAAGATTCCTTATGCATTTCCTTCGTGAAATTTGGCAGCTTTGATAAAGTAAGTCAAAAAGTGAAAGAGATATCTTGCCCTCAGTAGATTCTTGTCACCAAGAAACAATTCGTGATAGAAAAAATCAAATATTTATTTTATCTATATTATTTATTCTATGTATTTTATTTTGGAGGTCTGCGTGGAGAAGATTTGGCTGAGAAAATAAATATGTATTTATTTTATTTATTAAATTTTGAAGCTTCTGAGGAAATGCATAAAATAAATGAAAATAAAATATTTATTATATTTATTTAAGTATTAAAATTCGGAGCTCCGGAGAAAATAAATAAAATAAATTTTAAATAGATTTATTTTATTTATTTTATTTTATTTATTTTATTTATTTTATTTATTTTGTCTGCGTGGAGAAGATTTGGCTGAGAAAATAAATATTTATTTTATTTATATTATTTATTTTCTCACGAGATCCAAATTTTAACAAATAAAATAAATAAAATAAATATTTATTGTATTGATGTTATTTATTTTATTTATTTTTTTTTGGAGGTCTGCGTGGAGAAGATTTGGCTGAGAAAATAAATATTTATTATACTTCATTTATTTTCACAGAAGCTTCAAAATTTAATAAATAAAATAAATAAACTAAATGGCTATTTTATTTCTGTTATTTATGAAAATTTGGAGCTCCGGAGAAAATATACAAATAATTAAAATGAATATTTATTTTATTCATTTTATTTATTTTATTTATTTATTATAGTTTATTTATTTTATATATTTTATTTATTTTATTTTGGAGGTCTGCGTGGAGAAGATTTAGCTGAGAAAATACATTTTTATTTTATTTATTTATTATTTTCTCAGGAGCTCCAAATTTTAATAAATAAATAAAAATAAATATTTTTTTTTATTTACTTTATTTATTTTCTCCGGAGCTCCAAATTTTAAAAAAATTAAATAAATATATATTATATATTTTTTATTTATTTAGTTTATCTATGTTATCCATTTTATTTTGGAGGTCTGTGTGGAGAAGATTTGGTTGAGAAAATACATATTTATTTTATTTATTTTATTTATTTTATTTATTTTATTTATTAGCTTCTGAGAAAATAAATAAAATAAATTATTTTTTGAAAAAAAATATTTATTTTCCCAGGAGCTCCAAATTTTAATAAACAAAATAAATAAAATAAATATTTACTTTATTTATTAAAATTTGAAGCTTGTTAAGAACATACATATAACAATTTCAATAAATATCACGGGTATGGCCTTTGAATTTAAACTTAAAGGAAATTCAGAAGGAATCTTCAGCCGTCAAATAGTACAGAAAGGTCTCTCTAAAAAATATATATCATATATATATATATATCATATCTATATATATATCATATATATATATACATATATATATGTATCATATATATATATCATCTAATATATATCTATATATCATATATATATATGTATATTATATATATATATATATATATCATATATATAAATCATATATATATATATATCATATATATATATGTATATATATCATATTATATAAATATCTCATATCATATCATATATCGTATATATATATATCATATATATATAATATAAATATATAACCATTATTATATATATATGATATATATAAATCAAATATATATATATATGTATCATATACATATATATCATATATAATATATATATATCATATATATATCATATATATATCATATATATATATATGTATATATATCATATTATATAAATATCTCATATCATATCATATATCGTATATATATATATATATCATATATATATATCATATATATATGATATATATAAATCAAATATATATATATATATATATATATATATCATATTTATATATATATATACATATCATATAATATATATATCATGCCATCTCAAATCCCAACTCTTGTTAGTTGAATCCCCGAGAAACTTTTGATGTCAGTCAATAGCTAAGTTGGTATTATAACTACAATGATTCACTAGTGATTCTGCTGCAGTAGATGATGGATATGGGTGGGGAACAACAAAAGGATAGGAGTTGGTAAAATTCTACGACATTCTTCTAGTGATGATTTATTTTTTTTCTTCATGGACCATCAATGGAATAAAAAACAACCAAAAAACAACCACATATCTAGAGTCATCCCCAAAATAGAAAAGTACAATACCATAATGTAGCTAAAACAATATCATAAGCCATCCATTTGGTATGTGTTTTTTTCAAAAACCACCATAATGGTGGATTTTTTCTGGGGGATGGTTTATTCTTTTATGGAAAAAATCACCATTATGGAAAGAATACTATAGTTTTCCACTATAACTGCTTTATTTTTCAAAAAACCACATTAGTTATAGCAGTTATAGTGGAAAGAACGTCCCAACCGCAACTGGCGCAGTGACATCGTTCCGAATCAGCTCTGGTGGAAGCGCCGAAGCTGTCACCCGCTCCATCTGGGGCCAGGCTAAGGCGAAGTTCTGAGGGATGAACCTCGGTGGAAGCAACGGTAGTTCCATGGAGGATTTCAATGATTTCACCCTGAAATGTTGAGAAAAAGATGGACTGAAAAACGCTGTTTCACATGATTCTAATTCTAGCACCAAAAATTGGGATTGAACCATAAACAACCATTCTCTGAACATGTTGAGAAAAGCCCTTAACATCTTTTTCCGTATGATGATGGCTATTTATGCTATTTGGGAGTATCCATTTTCAGACACAGCCATATGGCCACGTGGCTGCGTCTGAAAATGTTGGGAAAACATTGAAAACCCCGCACAATTCCATGGTGTTCATTGCTTATTCTGCTGTTTGGATGGAAACAAATACATAAAATCTCATGGTCTATAATCGATATGTTATTTTGGTGGCAATGTTAGGGTGTCCCCCATCTAGAGACTTCATATTTAAGGCTCGAGAATAGCAATCCCAAAGAAGAAAACATGTGAGCTGTGTGCTACAGGTCTTGTTCTTCTGAAGGCGCTAAGGAATGCTTACGCTTCAGCTTAGGCGCTGCTTATCCACACCAGGGTTTTGCCCACGCGAGGTCCTTATTGCCAGCCTCTTACTAGAAAAAAAATCAGGGGGTTTTGGACGTGGCTCATTTGGTGCAGTGGCACTCAATGGATCCACAATTTTTTGAATGGTATGAAAGCTCCAAATTTAGGCGGGATTAGGAATCCTAAGTAATACCAACATCTATATCATCTATATCATTATGTTCAGTTTCATCATCACCATCACGATGAACATAATGATATATAGAGTAGTAATTACATAGCCTATCAAATTATGTGTACACTAAGTATATCTATAAGTATACTATAGTATGCTATCTGCAACACATTTTATCATCTTAGATGAACATCTAATCTTATAATTTATAATAATATATAATCATCAGATGGATAAGTATACTATGGATGTAACATGAATCATTGTCATCTTATCCATCCTTATCTTCATTCACCAGCTCCGCTGCTGTCGAGCCACTTGTTGGGCTCTGGAAGGTGCCAGCCCGGCAGTGAAGCTGAATCCGGCTGCTCCCATCCTGGCTTCAGTTAATATGTTCACCCTCCAAAAACAACGTTTTTGGGGTGATTCATTGAATATGATAACTGATTTATGATCATTTATGGATAATTATAGAGAAACAAGGGGAAAAACAACAAAACACCGTTTAAACTCCCTTGTCCCAAAGATGTAAACATGCGCCCCCTTTTGTGCGAGGGCGACTTGAGCCAGGTAAATGGCAGGCTACTGCATTAAACCCCGACCGCTGGATTAGGGGATAATGCTTCCTACTCTATACATGGCCACACCTATAACTAGCGCTTCTAATTATAGGTTGTCTATGGAGTTGTGATGACTGTACAATCTATTGGAGTGTTGGTCAAATAGCTACAGCATGGAGTGAACTATTACTAGTATATACAGTGGTGGTATAGGGGTCGTAATATTTCTACTCCCCCCTACCCTATCCTACGCTGGCAACTAGTGTACAGGTTAGGGCGCTAGGAAGCTGCCCCTTCCTTGGACTTTAGTTCACTACCTAAGTCTACTCGGATGCCAAGCAAGCGCAGTGCCGGGGCCCACTTTTGGGGTGGCAACGCCTTCGTAAAAATGTCTGCAGCCTGACTGTCAGTCTGACAGTATTCAAGCTCGGCGGAGTCGTCTCGAAAGACTTCGGAAAGGCCGGACAGATTTACTTTATGGGTGTGAGTGATATGCCTAAGTTTAGGGGAATAACCTTTACGCACTACCAGGATGGTAGCTTGGTTATCTTCTAAAACTCTAAGCGTCACGGTGCGCCCTAGGAGAAGCTCCCAGAGTTGTAGGGCCGGCAGGCCTTCTTGGTATAGGGAATAAGCCAAGGAAACCACCTCTGATTCTGTGGTAGAACGGGATGTGGAAGTTTGGCGTTTGCTAACCCATGCAAGAGGGAAGAAGGAGTTAGGCCCATATAGAACTAAATACCCACCGGACGTGGATTTTCCACTGAGACGATCACCGGCGAAATCGGCGTCAACGTATAAACGTAACTCAAGATCTTCGGGATTATCTTTGATGGTACCCACTAGACGGTATTGGGGTGTAGAGTCTATGTATTGAATGAGTCTTAACAACCTCTTATCGTCCCCCCTGGACCAAGACTGCACTTTAGTGGCTAAATCGTTGATGGGTTTTATTATGTCAGGTCTGGACAGCCGACCAAGCCACAACGCCTTCATAAGAATGCGGCATGCTTTAGGTGCCAGTTCACCTTTAGCCTCTTCATCTTCAACAGAGACAGAACCATCAGGTACAAAAGGAGTGGCAGCATGCTTCAAACTTTTGGTGTTGGTGATGGACTTGTAAAGGTCAACTGTTTGGTGTGCATAATCCAGCATGTCAAAGACTAAGGCTTCTTGTGCGCGAAACGCAGCACATTCCTCGGAACCTTCAGTCTTGGGCAATGGCATTACTAGATGATTGCGACCTAAAATTCGGTATATTGGTTCAGGTGGTTCTATATCCACAACGGATGTCAGCTTCGCCCAAAAGGTTTCATGTTGGTCAGTTGGACCAGCAAGGGTGAGATCATCTACATAGGTGGAAAGTAACAACTTAGTATCTGGGAAAAAGAAGTTACCAGGATATTCAGGTACCTCTTGGCCACCTAGGTTGCGGATAATTTTCTTGAGGTGCTGCTCCCAAAGGCCACCGGCATCAGGATGACCATATAAGGCTTTAACTAGGAGGACTACGGGTTTAACAAACTTATCTCGCCAATGTTCTGGTCTTAGCTCAGGCGGGAGTTCTATCCAGGTCTTGTATTTTGAAGACAGGAGTGCTTGAACGTAAGCCTTTACAGCATCAGCTGCGGATGAGCTATTACCTGGCAGGGAACCGTATGCTAAACAAGCATTCAAACCTTGGACCGAAGTCGGGTTTGCCCCTAGCTCCTGGTAGACCGCTGCAGCACCATGTTCATCCTTTGCGCAGTCGCCCCGGTAGACGATCCTACCCTTCATCTTTTGTAGATGCTGCGCAAGTTCGAAGAATTTAATGGATGCTATCGTCATGAGTTGCCCGAAATGAACGGACACTCCTGTGCGCTTGGCCTCAGCGCGTACATCTTCCTTTTCCCGAACGGAATCAAGTGACCACGTTCCCGCCTTGATGAGTCCATCGGCCTCGGCCTTAACAGCATCAAGGGCTTGGGGGTTGGATAACATCTCGGCCCTAGAAAGCAACTTAGTTACCATAGCTTGAACCTCTTTGGAAGGTTCATTGTTATCTTCATGCCCGAAGGCTTGTGACAACAAACGCTCATGGTCTAGAAGCTCCGACACTAAGCAGTTTACTGTTGGATCTGTTTCAATGGCAACTGCAAGATCCTCAAAACCAGCTAGTGGGGACACATGTTTAAGATGTTGTTCAACTTCGCGGTGCTCTTGGGGTTCGGTTGAAAGTGGAGCGCATGGCATTGCGGGAGCATGTTGTTGGGAACACTTAGCAGGGTACAGCGCTTGAGTAATCAAAAATGCCATCTCTGGGGGATACATAGCTGATCGCGCTGTTTCCGAACCTTCACACTTTTCATGTGGTTGTTCACAACTGCACTTTTTATCCTTAAAAACATCTACTATTCTTTGGGAAGTGGTTCGGACTCTCCAAGGCTTTTTGATGGGAACACCCTTCTTGGATCTAAGACCTACTGCACATCCATCGAAATCAACTTCCATAAACTCAGGGTGAGAATTAAAGAAAGCTACGACATCTGGTCTCTTCCAGCCAGTTGAGGGACGTGGCCATTCGAAAGAAACAGTGCCTCCTAGTTTCAAAACTAATTCTGCGATTTGGAAAAGCTTTTGAAAAGTCGTTTCGATTCTCGGAGTTGGAGCGCTAACCTTTTCATGTAAGCAGCTCCTCCCTTCCGTCTATTGATATACTGCCAAGGTGAACCAGACGTGCATGGTATGGACGACCAAAGATTGGGTGGTGCAACTTTTGCGGCTTCACCTATTTGATAATCAAGTTGGGAACATTGATTCTCATCACTTAAGTCTATCCTTTCCCTGCATAACCCAATGTGATTTATGTTACATTGCTCACTTGTCAACCCAAGCTGTGAGTTGAGGGAACATGCAAACTCAAACAGCGTTGATCTTTCATTGGATCTCTGGCTTTTCTTCAAGGCACGTCGTTTACGACGGTTATTGTTACTCTTAGGAGGCTGATTAACTGCGGGGCATGCAGGCACGGGCTGTGCACCGAACACTGGCAAGGAATCCCTACTTAGCTCAGCACGGCTGGGAGCGGTCTGTGGTAAAGTGGCAGCACCAGAGACGCTATAAGGAACAGCAATTGTGATTTCACCTTCATCATCAAATACGCTGTCCACCGGTGGTGGTTCCACGGGGGCATCCTCAAGCGCACTAGGAACTTCGCTCGGAGGTTCTGCAACTACCGACTCTGATATGGGCTTTGACTTGGCTTCCAGCTCCTTTTCTTCATCAACTAGTTTCTGGAACCGTTTGCGGCACTCTGCATTATGGTACCGAGTCTTATTCTTACACCCTGTACAACCGGGAGTTTCCTTAAACTTTATGATGCGGTCTAAGGTGATATAAACCGATCTAGGTTTGGGACCGGGTGTAGATGGGGAAGCTAAACCGCCGTCTGGTGGAAACGGAACATTTTGCAGGGCTATTTCAGGAAGTTTAACATCATCGGGATCATCCCCCCTGATCAAGGCCTGATGCTTCGAAAAACCAACGGGAAAATAGGCATCACCATCTGGAAGGTATAGTTCAGGCTCGGGTACATCGGAAACACATGAAGCACCTCTAGTTACTCTAGTTCGAAACTCTTGATAATCTAATATCCGAACAACATATCTATAACGAAAACCAGAATCGATTCGCCAACCAAGAAACAAACCAGGAGCCATATTGGGTTCTAAGGTCCTTTTTGTTGGATGCTTCTTGCGATAATACACAAGTTGACCAAAACACAAACGCTTACCATCAAACTTTTCACGTGTAAGAGCTTCCCATTGGGTCTTTTCAGGGTCCGCAATAGAAGGTCTATCAAAAGTCATGGAAAGACATGCGTATGGGTAACTATAAGTGTGATACTCATAAGGCAAACCAGATTGTAAATGAACAACCCTGCAACACTCTTTCTCTTCCCTGATGTCGCGCTCTAGGAGAGCGTTGTGCGGCCAACGGTTGGGAAGGGACGTCTCAGGAACGAAGCCGACCTGATGGGCAGCCTGCTCCAATTCCTGTGCTTCGTCCATTTTGATAAGAGTATGGGTTGCAAGTTCATTGGCTTTCAATCCCACGAAATGTCGAAAGTTTTTGGCATGGGATTCAACATCTCTTTTTGATAGGGGATATGCTATTCGTGCACCAGAGTAAAGGTCCCTTACCACATGGTGTGTTTTAACCCCTCCTATCCCCGTTCCAAAATGCTCAGACCCTTTTGCAAGGATAACATCATCAGTGGCCAATTGCTCAAAAGGTTGTTTTGGTGGATCAATCTTATCATCGGACTTACCATCCTTAACATGAGAGACCCGCATTGCAGTATCCTTAGCAATATGGCATAATGGGCAATATGGATTTTTGGGGTAGTGAGTCAAAAGATGCTCTAAGCTAGTGGCTTCCTTTTTCAAGACTTCATCTTTGATAGGGATACCATCACCTAACTCAACAAGCAACTTATCATCTAAAGGGTGCGGTGGCGCGCTAGGAGCAGCACCTTCCGGTACACTTGCATGTGAGCTGCTGGATGCAGCTGCATCTCTTGGATCATCGGCCTCAGCAACTTCGTCAAGTCGTGCGACATCTTGGCCTGCAAAACTAGGTGAATATCCAGAATCCTCATCCGGCAAAGGATCAGCTGGAAGAGCTGTGGAAACTGGGGTTAACCTTTCTGCTGGAACAAAGTTACGCGGACTAAGCTGTTCATCGTATTGTGGAACATATTCAACAACACGTGAGGCACAAATCCTAGCATTGCGGGGAACCTTAAGTTTGCATCTATTGATGTTCTCAGGTG